TATATATATATATATATAAACAGCACACAGCTCAATACCAAATGGCTAGTCCATGTGCAGAGACAAAGGGTTCATTACCTCCAAACTCAAGATTCCATTATATTTTGTTGTTTTGTCTTTATTTCGTAGGTACCAAACACCACAGTAAACACAAGGAAACGACAATGCTCTACTTCCTCTCTCTTTTTTTATTTCTTTCTTCAAGCACATACCCTATTTAAGGATTGTCACTAAGATTTAGGTCACTTACTGCTATCATCTGCTACCATGTGAAAAAATAAGCACGTCCTAAAATATTAGATAAATGTATTAAAAAAAAAAATCTGAGATGCCCACAAAAATAGAACCCTATAGAGGCTAGAGTATATAGAGATGCTCGTGTCTAAAACTGGCTACGGTGAAATGTGTCGAAATGTTCGAAATGTCCTTTACTGGAACCTAAAAGGATTGAAAATATGTATGTAGTAATTTAACAAATAAGTAAACAAACTAAATTCTTCAATCTTTGTAATCATTCACTAATTTTACCAACATTTGGTTAGAGAAAATATTCTTTAAAGTAAATTTGTTTCTTATTTTTTATAAATAATGTTGCAACGAATTACCTTACCTTTGGTATTTTTATTTTTATTTTTTTGATATTCATGATATTTTCTTATGAATCTCTAAACATAAAAAATAAAAGTTTTTTTGATGGAAGCTAAGCAAGGCATCTCACAAATGTTGCTTTATATACTCATAGTAATTGAATATCTATCATATGGTTTAAAAACCCAAATTACGTACTTGTCACTTGCAGCACATCTTGTGAGTAAAAATACATTGTTTTATGCAATTATAATAAGAAGGAAAAAAATATACTCAAAGTAATTAGTTTTAAATTTTTAAAAATATATTATTGTAGAACCTCGTTAAAACATTATAGCTAGGTTTAAGACAGGCTGAAAGCAAAACAACATGATATAAAGACAAAAAAATTGAAACAAGAGTTTGAGGAAGGGATAAGAAGGTACTGAAATAACGTGATGTGTCCCAAAAAGTACGTATACTTATGTAGCTGGTAGCGAAAGAAGGAGAAAGCAAGATGTGCATGCAACACGTAGGCTTAAGCATGACCAATGATTACTAACAGAAATTCAAAACGGGAAACTGAGCTTTGCTCTATAACACCATAAATACACATGTTGTTCCCTTTAGTTTCCGACGTAGCAGTCTCACTGATGGAATTGCGAAACAGTTTATGAGCAACTCTTGCATCTAAGAAGGACCCTCTCCTACCTCTTTCTCTCCTCATTCATTCATTCATTCACCACATACATACACATCAATAACGTTCTCAAACATGTCTATTCTCAAACTTGTTTTCGTTACCATCACTGTTTCATTGGCCATTATTGCTGCCAGCGCCCATGACCAGGGTGAAGACGCGAGTATGGCTTCTACGAGCATCGATGATGCAGAGACAAAAGTTGCCGACAAAAACAGGAAGAAGCCTGTCACTTATGATGGCAGGTCACTCATCATCGATGGACAACGAGAGCTTCTCTTCTCCGGTTCCATCCATTACCCGAGAAGCACCCCCGAGGTACCTTCTTATGACTTATCTATCATCATACAAGAGTAAAGATCATCTCGCTTTTACGTGTATAAAACGTTAAGTAATATCTTTTATACACTTCAAAGTTCAAATTATAGTAGTGGACAGGAAACGAAGAGATCTAAACTCGATATGTAATCAACTTATGTCACTCTCCACATGAAACCTCATTATTGTTGGATCAGAAATTTTAAATCATGGAAACAATACTCACATGATACTTGTGTCTGTGGAGATATATACATTAAGAAATTTTCTTAAAAATCGTGTAG